CGGCAGTAATGTTTGCTCTAAAAAAATTAGGAGACATTATTTATATGGAATACATTGTGAAATATATACTGATCACAAGAGTTTGAAATATATATTTACTCAGAAAGAGTTGAATTTACGGCAAAGAAGATGGTTGGAGCTTCTAAAAGATTATGATATGACCATTAATTATCACCCAGACAAGGCAAATGTTGTTACTGATACATTGAGTAGCAAGAATTCATGCAATTTAGCTTGTCTAATTATTTCTTAAAGAAAAATATTGGAGGACTTGGATCGTACTAAAATTAAAATTAGAGTCCACCAAATTACAGTTAAATTAGCAAATATGGTAATACAACCTTCTTTGCTAGATGAAATTAAAGCAAACCAACGTAATGATTCTCAACTATTAAATATAAAAAAAGATGTGGAAGAATGCTCGAAGAGCATTTAAAATACATGAAGATGGGTCATTGAGGTTTAGAAATAAAATTTGTATGCCTGATATACCAGAGATAAAGAAGAAGATTCTAAAACAAGCACACCATTGTATACTATGCATCCTGGATCAACAAAGATGTATAAAGACCTTAAGGAAATCTATTAATAGAATAACATGAAGAAAGAAATTGTTACTTATGTTGCGAAATGTCTTACTTGCCAAGTAAAGGCTGAACACCAAAGACCAGCCGATTTAGTCCAAAAAATTGGATATACCAATGTGAAAATAGAAAAAGATCACTATAGAATTCATCACTGGTCTTCCCAAGACTTTAAAGAAGAATAATGCGATAAGGGTGATTGTTGATCGACTGACTAAGTCAGCACATTTTTCCCTATCAATATGAAATATTCATTAGAAAAGCCGACTAATATATACATTAATGAGATAGTGAGATTGCACAGTGTATCAATATTAATAGTTTCTGACCGAGATCTTATGTTCACATCAGAATACTGGAAGAACGTGCATAGAGCTCTGTAGACTAAACTAAATTTTAGCCCAGCTTACCATCCATAGACTGACGACCAATCAAAAATGACAATTTAAACACTAGAAGATATGCTGAGATGTTGTATATTAGATATGAAAGGATCGTGGGAAGATTATTTTCCCTTGGTGAATTTGCATATAATAACATCTATCAAGCTAGTATTCAGATGGCACCATATGAAATTTTTTATGGAAGAAAGTGTAGGTCTCATATCTATTGGGACGATTTTGGAGAGAGAAAATTTTTCAGACCAGAATTGGTACGACAAGCAATTGATAAAATGCAATTAGTTTGGAAACGTCTTCGCACTATACAAAGTTATCAGAAGAGTTATGCGGACCAAAGAGGAAGAGAACTGGAATTTTAGATAAATGATCATGTTTTCTTAAAGGTTTCACCTACTCGAGGAGTGAAGGGATTTGAAATCCAATGGAAGTTAAGTCCGAGATTCGTTGGTCCATTTGAGATTCTGAAAAGGGTTGGTCTAGTGGCGTATAAATTAGTGTTACCGTCATCTCTATCTGGAATACATGACGTATTTCACGTATCGATGTTGCGGAAGTTCATCCGAGATCCAAATGAGATAATCGAATTATCTTCAGTAAAGCTCAAACCTGACTTAACTTATGAGGAGAAACCTCAGTGCATTGTGGATTCTAAGAAACAAGTACTTAAGCATCGTATCATAAGATATGTGGAAGTACAATAGAAGAACCATTCAGAAAGAGAAGCTACTTGGGAAACTGAAGATTCTATGAGATATGTGGAAGTACAATAGAAGAACCATTCAGAAAGAGAAGCTACTTGGGAAACTGAAGATTCTATGCGAGGGAAATTTCTAAGAGCTCTTTAGAGATTAAGGTATGTTAAGTTTCGAGGACGAAACTTTTTATTAGGTGGGGAGAGTGTAACAGCCCCCAAAAAAAAAAAATCAATCACACTGTTCCTATGTCGGTGATTTCACCACTTCACCTATGTCGGTGAAAAATTTACACCGCCTCTCATCAGTATAAAAAGAGGTTGAAAAGGAAAAAAAACCCCTAAGAAAAAAAAATAGAGTTAAAGAAAAGAAAAGAAGAAGAAGATTAGGGAAAAAGGAAAAGAGAGGAATTTCATCAAAATTCAAGACTATCCAAAGGTATGAACTATCCTCTTTGTTGAATTCTTTGATTTCATGGGGTTAAAGTCTTTGATTTCTTAAGAAATTGGAAAAAAGAGAAAAAAAGAAGAGAACACTTACCTGACCGCCGGCGTCGAGCAGGGCTCACCTTCGGATGACTGCTCCGATGGCGGAGCTTAAACAGCCGCACCAACTTGTCGCCGCAGAGGAGGGGGAGAGAGAGAGAGAGAGAGAGGAGAAGAAAGAAACCGAAAAAATGATGATGAGAAGAAAAGTAACGGGGAAGAAGAAGAGAAGGAGAGAGAAAAAGAGAATAAAAGAATAAAATAGCAAAATTAGTTTGGGACCCCTAAAATATTTTTAGTTTGTATATGGGTCCAAGAGGAATAAAAATATCTTTAGGACCCCTGAAAGTTTAAAAATTCGCAAATGAACCCTATCAGAGAAATCTAAGATCATATACGGACAGGATAACTTCGTATAGACCCTTGTTATTTGCTTTGTTTACAAATAAGTCCAATTTGAAGATTAAGAGATCACTTTTGGGCTGGATTAATTACCCATAACCCCCTGCCTCATCATAAGTTAGAAATAAATCCATATCTACCCTATTTATGGATTTTAAATTGATATGGATTATATTTGAAATTATTAACTCTATAATATGAAATGATTAACTTATAATATGTATTATAGTGAACTAATAATAGTCTTATTTTCTATATTATAGGTTCAGATTTGATATCTGGAAAGTAATGTTTTGAGGAAGCTGTACTCAGTGGAGGTGAGTTCATTTTTCACTAGTATTTTATAATATAAAATTGCATGAGTATTATAATTGATTTATCTTGTGATCGAAAAATAAATAATATATCATTTTCGTGTATATAAACTTAAAGGTGATTGATTTACTTTTGTTATGGCCTAAGCCGTAATACGATGTTGATTTCGTATAAGATATGAAAAAAAATCAATTTGATTTTATATGAACTATGAATTGTGAATTTGGTTCTCACGTGATTTCAAATAATTGTGGGAATTGCTTTATTTGAAAGCTTTTGAAGAAAAGAAATATTTTGAATGTGCTTCGATAGTTTAATGGATTCAAAGAATTTTTGTGACTTAGTATCTGATAAAAATAAAGAAATATGAAATCAGTGAACTGTTTTAACTGGAATGGAGAGTTTACCCTCGTACACTTCATTTGAAAATATTTGTAAATTCTGATAAGCACGGTATCTCTGATTTGACTAGTGATTCTCGATGTTTTCAAACCTTCAAAAGTCCACTATGAAGTGATTCTGCCTGTCATATGGTGAATGCACCTTTATTTGGTCCCTCTGTATTGGCCCTTCTAAAATTTGTTCTGGCCCCTTTGTTTTGGTCAGTAGCCTATGGCTGTGTTAGGTGCATTTGATTCTCGAGAATTATCTGTTATCTGATGCGTTTTACGCATTCTCATGCTACTGGGCTATAATTCGTAGCATTAGTGTGACATATGAGGTGATTCTTGTGTTTTATGAATTACTAGCCGGAAATGTGGAGATAAATGCTATACGGGGCTAAGTGCTACACCGTGTGGATGCGATGGGAGCCACCTCTAGAGCCTGTAGGAGCCACCTCTAGTCCACATCGTCTGACAGTAATAAATTTGTGATTTTGAGATTTGAGCGTGAATTTGAAGAATACGATTCATCGAGATTTAAGATTCTGACAATTGACTGTGAAATTGAGAAAATAATAGTCCTCTGGTTTTGTACCTAATTTAGTAATATATTTTCTTGTTAATGTTTACCTTGATTCGAAAGGGTCTGATTTTAATAAAATATTACAGTATGTTCAGTTACACATAAGAAAGAAAATGTAACTGTTGTATTCTTTCTTGTAGATGACAATATTATGATGTTTGGATCGTATTTTGCTATTTTTGAATTTCTGGTACAAAACTTATAATTCGTTATTCTGGGAATTATTCTTATTATTATTTTGTTAGTTATCTAGGAACTCTAGTGGGAAATGTTCTCACTGAGCTCTAGCTCACCCCATTGTTTTTAAAAAAAATTCAGATCCGATGTAGCTTCATACTATCGAAGCTTTTGGTTGTGACGTTTTGCTGAGAGGCGTTATAGGAATAGCCTCATTTTTGAATGTTACATACAATGAAGATTGTGCTTTATTTTGTGAAATGCTTATGACGGTGAGCTCGTGGGTTGTAAGTACCGATTATATGCATATATATAGTTTCTCTGGACTTCTATCATCAACAGGTTTATGGAAATTTTGTGATAAACTATGTGATATGAAGTGCCAGGCTTGACTCGTGCATAAGACTAGTCTCGTGCACGGGTCGCTGCTGTCGCGTACCCCGTATTTTATGAATTTCCGTTATAGTTTCGACGTGACACCATCAATGACCACCTACCCGTCTATAGTGTTTAACAACCAAAATATGAAGGCTATTAGTAACCTCCAAAGCATTGAGTGTATTCCATCATCGTAACAACAAGCCAAAGAGCAAGAATAAAGAGGGAGTGAAAGAAATAAAGAGAGGGAGGGAGACAATAAGAAAAATGAGTCGTGTGTTGTAAAAGAGTGTAGTAGTGTCGTAGCTTATAAAAGAGAGTGTTTGTATTGGAGAGAGTATAGAGGGTTGTACTACTAACGAAATAATAATAAAATATTTTTTAGTGGCCACCATTCTTCTCAAATCAATATAGTTATAATTTGTGTTTAAGTACAAAGTAAGAATGATTGCAATTCATAGGGGATATGATGAGTGTTAAAATATAATATGAATCACAACCACCCACTAGAGAAATCAGTGATTGTAATAATAGCAATGGTCTCCCCATTATGTTTTTGTAGGGGAGAGGATCCAAATCCAGACAATTGTCACTAGAGGGTGATGAAACATACTCAACTGAAAACGTTTGACATAGCAAATAAAGAATTTAAAGCTTTCAGGTATACATCATTTCGGGCTTCTACGTCCCCTGAAAGTTCTCACCTTTTCCTCCTGAATCATCAATTGCTCCCTTTAGTTCGCTATTAGCTGAATAAGGAAGCTTTTGAGAGTCTGCATCTAAGTCTTGGTCTTTCTCTTTTCCCCACAGAACCAAATAGAGACCGATAATGACTACAACTCCTCCAATTATGCTGCAAAGACAGACTAGAAAATGTCAGAATCAAATTTCCAACAACGAGAGAACTTACCTTATGTGCTCAAATTAAAAATGTTTCTGAATTCTGGAATAAGTTGTTCACCCTTACCTTCCTACATATAGTTTCTCACCAAAAACGAAATACGCTAGAACTGCCACTAGTATTGTTGAAAGAGGATTGAACATTGTTACAAATACAGGACCCTTTTCCTCTGTGCACCACAGCTGAATGAATATTATCAAACCAGAGCATACCACTCCCTGCATGAGATACCATAACACCAAGTTTTCAGAGAATCTGTTACCTTGGCCAAGTCTAGAAGATTACCTAATACTTACTTACAGCATATAAAATACTCCAAAGGTTTATGTCAAGCCCAACAGTCCACTCAGCTGGTCTGTGTGCTATGCATGCAGTGAAAACTGCTGATTGTGCTCCCCCAACGAAATTCATCCATGTGGTAAGTGAAAGTTGTGCTGGATACCTTTTTAAGGTTACAGCCTGCACAAAAATTAAATATATGTCATAACTAGCTCTACATTACCAGAAAAATTGTGTTATCATGATATAAGCTTGCTACAGAAACTATAAGAAAACATTTTACTAAAGATGCGAACTTTTGTTATCTTAAAATTTTTTTTCTTCCAATTTTCGGTTATATATCTCTTTCAAAGGTGATGCATTTACTATTATATTATTTCTGTGTTGTTTGATGTATGCTGTAGCCATTAATATTGTCTATTTAGTCCTGAAGCAACTCGCATGTCTAGTTAATCCTTATATATCTACCTGGCCATCAGCTGTTGTTTATTTTTGCTATATATGTTGGCTTATAGTTACATGTACTGCATAATGCTACCGCTTAGGCTCTCACCATGTAAATTCCACTGTTTTCATAGACCTGTTATTTTATAAATTAACCCTGACACAGACTGTTTTCAGACTTTTAGACATCATCAATATGGCAGTGAACATCTTCACTTTCTAATTTGGTATGTTTTATTTGCTTATTTGTTACCTATTTATATTATTATACGGGTGAGCCCATCTGTGGGACTATACTTCTTCATCTGCGAAGCAGGCTGAAATTTTTCTCGTCTTTTCTCGTTGAGCTTCAGCTGTTAGACAGAGCACTTACTGGAATTAACTTTCTCTTCCATGGAAATCACACAGAATCAGCGTATTGGTTCAGTGTGATTTATACACGGAAGTTCCATATGTATAGAAATAAAAACCTATCAGAAATTAGTTCTACAGATTATTGAGTTAGCTCATAATAACCAGTCACATGGATTACACTAGATGATACAGAAGTCAATACCTGCATGATATACCATATGGACCACGTGATGCAGCTCACTACCGTAAGAGTTGATCCCTCTAACCATCTTCCATGGACTACACTTCCTTGAGTATGAAGTTGTGCTCCCCATAGATTCTTTATCGCTGCCCCTTTGTACAGCGTCATTATTGTTACTCCAGCCAGGGAGACTACAGTCCCCACAATCTTCGCCATCCCTCGAGGGCTCTTAACATCTAGTTTCTCCAATCTGAAACCCATAAATAATAGGTGACATTATCGTTCAGAGGTTAACGTGACAGTGTTAGGATAGGGTGATTGCATACTTCAGAAGAACAGCAATCACGAATGTCATGGAAGCAATTGTGTTAACCATGGAAGAAACAAATGCTGGTGATGTATATTTCAAGCTCGCGAAGTACATGTTCAAAGTTAGGCTGACCCTGCATTTCCGTAATGTTACTATCAGTTATCATCTGTCGGTATTTGATCAGCTTTCTACTTGTATACACTTGAGTTGCTCGTAGTATACTCACCCTAGAAGAGAAAGCACAAAAATCTCTAGAAATAATGCCCATGTCAACTTTGGTCTGATTGTTCTGGCACAAATAGAGGAGAAGAAATTAGGAGCAGTTCATCATAGTTCTGAGTTTAGGATTTCAAATTAGGCATAGAAATGGATGGTACCTCTCAAGAAAATAAGCGAAAGGCAGCATGACGACGCCACCAACGAGATGTCGATATGTTATGTAGACATGGGGATTCATTCCTCGGTTGAAGGAAGCTTCAGTGATGAAGTAGAGCAAGGTATATCCAATCTGAGCGAGAGTCATGAGAAGGTGCGGCTTCAATCTCTTGTACATTCCTCCCATCTGAAGTCTAGGCCCCATAGCCACCTTTGCGTTTTTTTCCTGCACAACCTAAGGTGTAAAGATTTCAACATCCTAAATTGTCATTATATGAAAGAGGAGATTTATTCTTATTACTTGTTCCTATTCTTATTCTTCCTGCATGTTGCATACCTGAGAGAAGTGGTACTTTGGTTGAACACTTGGTCAGTGGAGAAAATGGTAGCAGAGATGAGAATGAGAATATACTACTGAATGCTCTGCTTTGCTCTTTCCTTAACAGGGAACTGGGGTTTATTTCCCCCTAAATTGAGGTGAGCAAGCGAGCATTAATACCTTCTTTCAGTGGTTACGAACTTAAATTTCTATGCCCCAGCCAACTGATGGGGTCCCAACTTGTAAGTGGAATCATGGAAATGAGTACCACACTGGCAACCAATTGTTGGTTTTATTTCTTTTAATGGGATTGATAATTGCTAGTGTTGATTGGTTTAGACCCGTGATTGAGAAGTTCTTAGCGTACTTTTGGTAGTGGAGAACTTAATCAGGAGTGGAAAGTTAATTAAGAAATTGTGCTTCCCAAGTGTATCACCACCAGCATGTCACAATTGTAATATCGTAGGGTAGCTGAGCTGGAGGCCCCCATTGATGAGAAAGTATCAAAATGGTGATCGGTTTGTTGCATTAAATGTGCACGTAATAAATATGTACCAAACAGACGTTAATCCTTGAATTATTAGACTTAAGGCACTCGTCTAATGCTGATATCTCCTTGGTGAACATTCAACTTTGATTTGCTTTTGTCTAATCAAATACTACTTATTTCGTGATAAAGTGCTGCCAAAAGCCAACAAAGTCCTACAAAAGCAGCGTTAAAGCAAATACTGAAGCGGTAGGAGTTTTTATGTAGGGCCATGCAAGAGCATTATACCCTTAATTATTCACTTTAAGGAAATATATTCGTACAAGCATTAGGGAGCTTGGTGCTTTGTGATGAAGCTAAAGATATACTTGTGCTCAAATTGAATTTGATGTGTAGGGTCTGCCCATACTCGCAACCATGGAATATGCAAATAGTTTCTTTTTTTTTCCCCCAGAATAAAGTGCTGAATTTGTGGGGCTCTAGTCAAGAAATCATTTCATTAGATATTGAGTGCTAGTACGGGCACCGGTTGTGCTTTTGATCAATAGCTTTGTTCTTTCCTATCTGGCATTATCTGCTGAAGAAGAAAAACCTTAATTTTTTTTAATAACTCCATAAATTAATGATCAAAACTATAATTACACATCCCCTCACAACATATTCCACACGCGAGCGGGTTATCTGAGTCGCACATGAAATTGATATGGAGCATTTTTAGTCTTTCGTGATCCAGTCACATATGTATATCGGTTCAATCGGTGTTATCTTCGAAGTGTTTTAAACTGGGCTTTCGACCAGTCCAAAGCTCATAAGGTGTTTTAGCAACTGTTTTACTTGGCACTCTGTTCAGAATGTAAGCTGCTGTCTTTAGTGCTTTTCCCCAGAGTGACTCTGGTAAAGAAGAATGAGTAATCATACTTCTTACCATATCCTTAAGAGTCCTGTTTTATCTTTCAGCTACACCATTCATGCTAGATGAACCCGGCATGGTGTACTCTGGGACGATACCACATTCCTCTAGGTATCTAGCAAATGGTCCTGGACGTTATTCACCTGAACCATTATATCTGCCGTAGTACTCACCACCACGATTAGATCTAATGGTTTTAATTCTTCTGTTGAGTTGATTCTCAACTTTAGCTTTATAGGCTTTGAACATGTCCAGAGACTCAAATTTTTCATGAATAAGATATAGGTACCCATAACGTGAGTAATCGTCTATGAATGATATAAAATATTTTTGACCGTTCCAGGATGCCGCAGGGAATGGCCCACAAATACACATATGTATCAATTCTAAGACATCCGAAGATCTGTTGGCACCTAATCTCTTAACTTTGATCTGTTTTCCCTTGATACATTCAACACATACGTCGAAGTCCGAAAAATCAAGCGAATCCAAAATGCCATTAGACACCAGACGCTCAACTCTACCTTTTAAGATATGACCTAAGCGCTTATGCCATAATATCACCGAATTTTTCTTATTTAATTTACGCTTAGTACCACATGATTCCGCATACAAGGATTCATTATAAGAAGCAATTGTATCGAGCAAATATAGGTTGTCATAAGTACTCAAGTAACCAGTTCCCACAATATTTGAATTAAAAGATAAACTGAATTGATTGTTTCCAAATGAACAAGAATAACCTGATTTGTTCAATACAGAAACTGAAATCAAATTCCGTCTAAAAGACGGTACTACAAAAGTATCTTTTAAGTCCAAATAAGAACCAGTTCCTAATAGCAACCTAAAATGCCCAATTGCTTCCACATCTACCGATTGACCGTCGCCCACAAAGATGTATCTTTCAACATCACTTGGCTTTCGGTAGTGTTTGCGGAGAAAATTGATTGTTTCATTGCGGGATTCATTACAAACTTCAGACGTTTACAACGAAAACAAAAATTAGTCTTTTTATAAGATCTTTACACAATGAAAACAAAACAAAAGTATAATTCTCTTCAAACAGCGCAGAGATCGTTTATCGATCTTCTGCTTGCGTGAGATCTTTGCCTGTGTCGGGGTTTATCCGTGGACCACCGTCGATCAGATCTGATTGCTGAAAAATTGGGCAGAGCTTCGTTGACTCGCGAAGGAATCAAGAAACCGTAGCGCTTATCTCGGCAACGGCGAGATAATTGCTCTTCTTAAGATTATCGCAACGGGGTAATCTTAAGGGACGAACCGGATTGCAGATCTGACGAACTACTCTTCTTTATAACAAAGAATCCGCTGAAGTCTCCTCTGATTGCTGAAAAATTGGGCAGAGCTTCATTGATTCGCAAAACAATCAAGAAACCGTAGCGCTTATCTCGACAACAGCGAGATAATTGCTCTTCTTAAGATTACCGCAACGGGGTAATCTTAAGGGACGAACCGGGCTGCAGATCTGACGAACTCCTCTTCTTTATCACGAAGAATCCGCTAAAGTCTCCTCCTCCTCTCTAAAATTCGTGGCTCTTCACTCCTCAATTCGGCAGGGCTTCGCCAACGCTCGAGAATTCCAGATCTAAAAAAATGAGGGTCCTGGGGCTGTATTTATAGGCTTCAGGAGCCCTGTGTTTGGATAGGAACGGTTGATTCCCTCTTATCTTTAGTTATAACCACTTTATCACATTTAAAGATAACCCCAAGGCAGTTAGGGAGGCTCTGGAACCGTCAAAACTGCTCGAAAACCGTCAAACACAAGTCAAGAGTGCGAGACAGTTCGGGGTGTCTCGCACATGTGCGAGACAGTTTGTACCCTCTTCAGTATTTTCGCTCTAATTCTTTCATCCGACCTCCGAATGAGGTGATTCAAGTTGTGTTGGAAAGATAACGAAATGATCTACAACTTTTATCTTTTAAGATTCTTCATATTCGAATCTAATAATGGTAAAAACAGCTCCACAAGGTCCGAGACACTTGTGAGTGTCTCGGCCATGGTCGAGACACCAATAAGTATCTCGGGTATTTTGATCATAACTTCCTCATATGACCTCCAAATAACCTGATCCAAGATGCATTGGAAAGATAATGAGGGGATCTACAACTTTCATGTTTTGAGTTTCTTCAGATTCGAATATAATCATGGTAAAAACAGCTCCACAAGGTCCGAGACACTTGTGAGTGTCTCGGCCATGGCCGAGATACCAATGAGTATCTCGGGTATTTTGGTCATAACTTTCATATATGACCTCCAAATGATCTGATCCAAGATGCATTAGAAAGATAACGAGGAGATCTACAACTTTCATGTTTTAAGTTTCTTCAGATTCGAATCCCAAGATGCATTAGAAAGATAACGAGGAGATCTACAACTTTCATGTTTTAAGTTTCTTCAGATTCGAATCAGATCATGTCCAAAATCACTCTACAAGTTATCTACAACTTTCATGTTTTAAGTTTCTTCAGATTCGAATCAGATCATGTCCAAAATCACTCTACAAGTTCCGTCGTTTCGCATGGTCCGTCGACTCACTTCGTGCGTTCATCGACGTCAATCAAGCTTTTGTGACTTGGATAGTGACGTTCCTCACCTCCTCTTAGCTTTGAGCTGCTCACGGAGACCTATAGGCAATTTTCGATGCCTACAGATACCCCCTCCAAAGCGTTCCAGACTCGTTTCTTTTATAGAAGAGGCTCGAATACTTTGTATGTGATTGGTCCTGTCTTTGATCGGTGTAAATGACCTATAGTTAGCTTCGACTCTTGGCTCTTTTGATTTTCAGTCTATTCGATGCTTCGACGAATAGCTGAAGTCCTTCCGGCGCTGCGTTTATCGTCTGGCCGTCGTCGGAGTCTCGAGTCTAAAACTGATGAGTTGAGTTTGGCTCGTGTCATTACGTTGACTTAGAACTGACCCTCTCCGTCGCATCGACTCTTTCATTGCAACGCATTGATTGGCGTTGACCTAGGGTTACGCGTTGACCGGCATTGACCCTAGGGTTTCGTTAAGCTAAAAGAGTTAACCCTTTTAGTGCTACGATATTGAATACGTAGACTTCGTCTTTCTCACGGGAATAGACTACCCGGCGACGCGTGTTAGGTGTTGACTTTAGGATTTTTGGCTAACCCCCCGCCTTCAACGGGTTTGATTAGCCTTTACCGACTACCGTTTGAGTCGGGCTAGCATACGGATTGTTCAAGTCCGTTCCGCATGTGACGTTAAGCTAAAAGAGTTAACCCTTTTAGTGCTACGATATTGAATACGTAGACTTCGTCTTTTTCCTGTGAAAAGACTAAACAGCGACGTGTATCAGACGTTGACTTAGGATTTTTGGCAAATCCTCAGCCCTCAACGGATTTGACGTGCTCTTACCGATTACCGTTTGAATCGGGCTTACATGCGGATTGTTTTAAGTCCGTTCCACATGTGACGTTGTGCTAAAGGAATGAACTCCCTTAGACTTGATGCTACGATATTGAATACGTAGACTTTGTCTTTGTCACGGGAATAGACTACCCGACAATGCGTGTTAGGCGCTGACTTATCCTTACTTAGGATTCAGGATAAAAGTCCCCAGAATCAGATTCTGATGTCTTCTTCAATCGGTAAAAGACTAAACCGGCAACGTGTATTAGGCGTTGGCTTATCCCTGCTTAGGCTTCGGAATAAAATTTCCCGTGCGTGTGAAGCACGGATTTTGGCATTATTAATAACAACCTACCACAATATTGAATATGTGGGCTTTTGTCCTTTTTACGGTTAAGGACTAACCGGCAACGCGTGTCAGGTGTTGACTTATCCCTGCTCAGGATTCGGGATAAAATTCCCCGTACCTGTGAGGCATGGATTTTAGGAGTTGAAAAAAGTGGTGTCTTCTCTTGGGGCAAAGACGAACCCGAAATGGGAGAGGAAGAATTTTATATTCTATCTCCCAACACTGAAGAGGAAGAATTTTATATTCTATCTCCAGTTGGAAAGGAG